GGCTGTCACCTGATAGGATATTTCTCCAAGGTTAGTTGAAAATACATACATAAGCATTACTACTCACTAGAATGACATTTAGGACAACAGTTGTCAGTACTGAATCTCTCCTTTAATCCTGCAGTCTTAGGATTCATTGCTTTTAGGAACAGACAAAGTTTCAAACCTGATGTGCATGAATCGCTCTTACTGTTTGCTGCAGGGACTGAGGTGCTTTGCTGTAGGCATAAGTAAGGATAAAGAAAATGTAAAGAATGTAGAGAAAAATACATTGAAATAGGTATTAGTCGCCATCTTTTTTTGTCTGAACATTTCAGTTTACACCATGTGCTTTAAATGCTGCTGTTGTTTTATTGCTGCATGTAAAGCTGGTAGATGACAGAGGTGGTGGTGAAAGTGTCACTGGCTCCTCAGTACAACTCCTTGTCCAGCCATTCTAGACTTAAAATTGTGCCCCAGACCCCCTGTTTAATGGCTCTTGAAGTGAGAGACACTGAGCCAGGTTGGGAACTGAAGGATGATCAGGTTACTTGTTAGGCAGGTTTTTCTGCTGTTGCTCCTTCCACCTTGTATCAGTTGCACAGGCTTGTTCAGTCTGTTGGATTATGATACCCATTGCTTGTACAGACCTAGACCTGTTCTTCCTCTCTCATCTTGTGTTTAGGAGAAGAATTCTTTTCTCAACTACAATGTTTCCTGTATCCTGACGATGCCTCAATACATGAGGCAAGGCTACGGCAAAATGCTCATTGACTTCAGTAAGTAGAGAAGTTCTGCAAGCATCCTTTCGCCAAGAAATCGAGTACATCTGTGGTGGTTGTTGAGCAGTTTTCATCCAGAGATGATTTCTGCATGTGCCAAAGAGGCTGAGAGTCAGGAAAGGGCAGTTTAGGAAGGATAAATAGGTTTTCTTTCCTTTGCAGGCTATTTACTTTCAAAAGTAGAAGAAAAAGTTGGCTCTCCAGAGCGCCCTCTGTCTGATTTAGGGCTCATCAGCTACCGTAGTTACTGGAAGGAAGTTCTCCTTCGTTACCTGCATAACTTCCAAGGAAAAGAGATCTCTATAAAAGGTATGGTTTCCAGCTAAATAGCTCGTTGTGAATTGGTTCAGGAACGCAGCTATGCAGCTCACTCACTTTCCTCAGTTCTGAGGCAGGTGGAGGATTACACCTTACAAAATTGGATTCTAAAATTAGTTAGCAATCATTGATCCTCAAGAGTGAATCAAGCAAAGGCAAGTTGGATTCCAGTGATACAGATAACCAGGGTGGTCAAAAGGGTACCAAGTACAGCAGCAGCAGTAATACTGCGTGTACCTCCTTGCTATGTGCAGGGCATTTTGGGTGGATCACTTCAAAAGGAGTTGCATAAAACTTGGAGTTGCAAACTACCAGGTACAGGTGGAGGAATGTGTGTTTCTGCTCTGACATAAACTGATCCTGCTTTGCAGAAATCAGCCAGGAGACTGCAGTAAACCCTGTTGACATTGTGAGCACGTTGCAGGCGCTTCAGATGCTCAAGTACTGGAAGGGCAAACACCTGGTCCTCAAAAGACAGGTAAGGTTTGTGACTGCAGCTCAGGGGTTTTGTTTCTGTCTGTTAGGTTCAGACAAACCTGCTGAAGCCAGTATTTCCTTTGCACTGTGCTGGGCTTTCCAGCTTTTTCATTCCAGTGGGGGAGCACTGTAATTGTCAGATGCAGTAACTGATAACATACGTGGGCATCCAACCTGATCCTTCAGTAATGTAGAAATGCGTTGTATTGACCTTCCTTTCCAATGTGTGGAATAACATTGCACATTATGGAAGTGGCTTTTCAGGGGAGCCATGGATCAACATTCCCATCATGGTCCTCATAATGCCTGGCCCTTATTGGGCAGATGGATGACATAAACTGAATGAATGGAATCCTGAATGAGTCCTGTTTGTACCCTCATTAGACATGAAACAAGTGGTTTATAAATGCCCAAACATGACACCTTCCCTCTTTTTGTTTTCCCCTCATTGAGACTTCACTTTGTAGCTAACAGCAGCCTTATCAGTGTGATTGGAAGGGCTTCTAGGAAGCGTTGTGGAGGAAATGTTGCTTTTCAGCAGTCAGTAGGCGGTTTGTCATCTTGTGCTTTGTGAGCTTAGATGTGTGGTGGTGTACCGTGGATAATTCTCCAGTGTGGATTTGTTTTAACCTGCGCTTTCATGCTCTCTTCCTTAGGATCTGATTGATGAATGGATAGCCAAAGAGGCAAAAAGATCCAACAGCAATAAGATAATGGATCCCAGCTGTTTGAAATGGACCCCTCCGAAGGGAACTTAACTGTGTCTAACTCCTGAAGCCAGTGAACCCCAGCAGTAGAAATTACCCTAGGGATCTCTGTTGTATCTGTTGCTGTTGTGATTGGCTGGTACAGTACCCTCCTGAAAGATCAGTTCCCCTTGGTACTGTTCTGGCCCAGATCTTTTGTGCACACCACAGACGCTGGTTCTGAGGAACTTTATGTTTCGGCCTCAATGAGGTTGCAAGGATTGGATCTGTATAGGACCCAAACAAAGCTCCGAGCAGCACTGGCCCAAGGAGTTCTGATATCTGGTACTGTACCTGTCCAGTCACTGGTCTTACCCTCATGTTCTTATTCCGATGAGGTTGTGTTGTGTCCTATAATCTGGTTGTTTCTTCCTTCAGGTTCTTTGCATTCTAAGTAATGGAGATAACTTCTGTGGCTTTTGAACAAGGTCTAAAACTGCTTCTTTGGGGAAAGTCTGGTTTTCCAACAGGCTGCAGTTACACTGACTTCAGCATTTTTAACTTGTCTGATGGACTGTTCTATTCCATGTATCAAATAGCTTTAGGAAGATAATATACCACCTCTTTTCAGCAGTGTTTCCCATAGAATATAGCAGGGCTTCACATAGTTAATATTGTACAGTCAGAAGCTTGAATATCTTGTAACTGAGTGGTGTGATTCTTAGTGTTACCCTGGAGGAAAGGAGGCCAAGTGTGTGAGAACATTGTCTGAGGTTTCATAGAGTTGCTCTTGGTGTGCACTCCTGGAGCTACTGCAGTACCACATCTGGTGGAGAGACCTCTGGGATTATAAGTTTTTCCTGGTTTCTCTCTTGGATCCTTTACACAGAAACAGCCTGTTCAGAGTGTTTCACTGGAGAGACTTCTCCCAGAGCAGTCTTCCCTGACTTGCAGGTCTCTTTGGATTGGAGAGGCTTTTCTCCTCTAGACTGAAGAAATAAGATCTTTAACCAGACTTTTTGCTGGCCTTGTCCAAACAGCCACAGAGCCTCTCCAATGCCAAGCCAGTTGGTGGCTTGCCTACAGTGGCCATTCTGTGCATCAGTGGCAGCTCCTGTTAGCTGTGTGGATGGTTTGCTTCTCTGACAGTGAGTCCTTGTTTGTCTTTGTAAAACAACAAAGCTTTTACTTCCTCTCTCCCATCAGCACCACTGGAAGAAAATCATACAATGGCTTTCAAGTATAACCACTGTTCTTGTGCCACAAGTTTCCTCTATGGCTCCAGCATGATAAAAAGGAGGGGGCAATCTTGGGGTAGATGATGGCAGTGTCATATAGTGCTGATTTCATTTAGACTTTCCAATGCTTACTCATGGAATGGTGGCTGAAATGAAGCACTTGGAATGTACTGGTAGGTAGGAGCCATTTCCTGTTAACCACTGCCCATCCTGATGTGGAAAAGCTCTCTCTTGCTCTCCTGATGGTGTCCACCTTTCTCTGCCTCCTTAAAAAACGATCTACGTGGTGTAGACCTTGTGGGCATTACTGAACTTTGCTGTCTCGTGCCCTTTGCTCCTGTATTGTAACTACAAGATACTCATGAAACTATCCAGCAAAGTAGATCTCTTGTGGAGTGGGGAAGAAGGCCGTTCTTGTGCAGAAGCTGAACCTTGTTCCCCTGATGTGGTAGAATGTGCTGTTCTTGTATCTCCTTCCAATAAAGCATGTTCTCTGCGCAGCGTTGGGCCGCCTTTGTTTCATTCTGGTGTTTTTCAGTCAGATGCCGTTTTGCCACCGGGACGGCGGGGACGCCCCGGGCCGAGAGCTGAGCGGGCGGGCGGGGTTGGCCTGAGAAATCAGGGGGCGGGGCGATGTTACGTCATAAGGGAGGGGCGGGGCGATCTCTATAAAAGGAGGGGGCGGAACCCGGTGCCCCGGCCCCTTCCGGACCGGTTTGGCCCAGGGTTGGCGCGGGGAGGCAGAGCCGGGGCAGCTGCCGCGGGCAGGAGGGAGCCGGGGGGCGCCGCCCGCTGCCGCCCGGGCAGGGCCAGCCCTTACCCCAGCGCTGCCAAGGCCACCACTAACCCATGGCATGGAGGCCTCGCCTATGGTGTGCCAGCTCTTGCAGGGACGATGACTGCAGCCCTGCCTGGGCAGCCTGTTCCAATACCTGAGCACCCTCTGGGGAAGGAATTGTTCCTCAGCTGCATCTAAACCTGCCCTGGTGCAGCTTGAGACCGTTTCCTCTTGTCCCATCCCTTGTTCCTTGGGCAGAGCCCAGCCCCTCCTGGCTCCATCCTCCTGTCAGGCAGCTGTAGGCAGCGATCAGGTCCCCCCTGAGCCTGCTCTTCTCCACACTGAACCCCCCAGGTCCCGCAGCCCTTCCCCATCACCCCTGTGCTCCAGGCCCTGCACCAGCTCCGGTGCCCTTCTCTGGCTCCGCTCCAGCACCTCAATGTCCCTCTTGTAGCGAGGTGCCCAGAGCTGAGCACAGGATCCAAGGTGCGGCCTCACCAGTGCCCAGTGCAGGGGTGATCGCCAGGAGCGTCCCATTCTGCTTCCCAGCACCACCCATCAGCCACTCCCCAAAGCACATATGTGCCCCACAAGAGCCTCACACCCCCCCCCAGCCTGGAGGCAGCCACGCCCTCAGGCACAGAGCCAGCAGCCTGGTAATTACAGATGCTTAATTAGTGACAGCAGGGAGCTTCCTTAACAAAGCACATTAATTACAGGCAATGTGCTCCACTGAGAAGACCAGGACCACCTGGGCTGGTACCACCCCCTCCAGCACAGGCTGTGCTGCAACATCCCCATGGCTTGGCAGACACGCGTTGTCCAGCCAGGACTGGGATGTCGGCACCAACCTGTGGGGAGGAGCCCTCTGCAGAGCACGGAGATAAAACCTGTCTCTGTTTGGGGTCACGCTGTCAGCAGGGGTTTGTGACAGGCTTTGTGATGGGGTGGCTTGTGGGGAGGAAGCCAATGTGCATGAAGTGCCAGCCTCAAACAATGGGTATGGTGCTCAGCACCTGCAGGGTCTGTGTCCCTGTGTATCCGGGGGGCCCTGCCGTGGCAGGGGGTTGGAGCAGGTCATCTCCTTCCAGCCCCGATGATTCTGTGATCCAATGGGGTCCAGGGCAGGGACGTGTGGGAGAAACCATCCTGAGGAGCACGGAGCTCACAGTCTCTCCTCAACCACGTTGTAGTACTCTGTGGGGAGAAAGGAGGAGCTGGGGACTGCCCAAGGGCACCCCCAGACCCCATGGACAGAGGGGGGGGGGGGGGGGGCTCAGCCTCTGGCCGGGTTGATGCATGCCTGGGGGCAAGGTGAGAACATTGCCCTGGAGGGACAGGGGAGGGCGCATCCTTACCCGATGCTGGTGGGATGCTGGCTCCCACGGTCCCGGTGGCGCTGGGAGGCGGGGGGGGCGGTACCGCGCTGCGGGAGGGGAGCGAGGACAGGAGCAAGAGTGAGCCCTCGTGTCCCAGCTCGGGCTGGAGCCCTCTTACACCTCATGGGAGGCCCAAAGCAGCAGCCCCGTTACTCACAGCTCCGCATCCTCAGCTCCTGAGCCCAGGTACCGCACGGCCGCCGGCCCCCACTCCTGTACAGGGCCCGGCCATGACAGGACGGGAAGGGGCCAGAGGTAGGGGATGTAGTGGTGGTGGAACACCATGGCCTCCTCTCCCTCCACCGTCTGCAAAGGCTCCTCCATGGCCTGTGGGGAGCAGCAAGACCCCCCTTTCAGCAGCCGTTTCCCTGGGGCACAGCCCCCAAAGGCACCAGCAAGGGAACTCCCATGGAGCCACAGCACGGCTCCGTCCCACCCCATGGTCAGACCCCGGAGAAGCCTGCTGGGGACACACGGAGGTGGCAGCCCCATGGATGGGACCTCGGAATGCAGCTGGGAAGAGCCGGTTGGATCTGAGCAGTGTGGCGCAACGGGCGCAGGCTTTGGCTGGAGATGGCTTTGAACCGGAGCCCCGTGTCGGTGTCAGCCCCGCACCGCGGCGCAGGGAGGCTCCTGCCCCTTCCCGGCTGGGATGCATCACCTGCGAGCCGCCTGGCTGCGATCTGTGCTGGCGGAGCCGGGGCCAAGCCAGCACAAAGAGCCCCTGAGGGCTGCAGGGCCTGAACTGAGCGGGGCTGGGACCAGCCAGGAGGGGGCTCGTGCTGTGCCGGAGCAGGACGCGCACATCCCGCTCTCCTGAGCACCTCTGCGAGGGTCCCTTTGCCCTTCCTGTTGCTCCTCTCCATGGGCCCTTGGCTCATCCAGCACCCCTGACCCCTACCTGGGCAGCGGCTGGGGACGGCCCAAGCCCAAAGGCCGTCAGCGCCGACAGAGCCAGGCTGTTCATCAGCACCTGGTGCATGTGGGAGCTCTGGATCATCATCAGCTCCATGAAACCTGCTGGAGAGGCAGGGCCCTGCATCAGGGAGACCAGAGCAAGGGCACCAGCAGCACAGCCTGGGCTGGGGCGGGCCGGGGCTTGTCCCTGTGCCTCAGCAGTGGGAGCGAAGCCAGGCTCCCCCCACCCATGGAAGGCCCATGTGGCACTTCAAGATTATTTGTGCTTGGATAAAGCTCCAGAATAGCCCCATTGCAGCCCTTTTCTTCCCTGCAAATGTGATTAAACACCTGCTGTGGCTTGCTGGATGCTGCTCACAACAGGTGATCATGGTGCTGGAGGCATCAGCCTTCCCACCCGTTTGGAGGATGGCTCTGGTGCTGGCAGCACTCAGTGCCTTGGCAAAGGCTCTGCCTTGGCAGTGGGCAGCAGAGCTGGTGGCCTGGGGCTGGCACTGCACGGGGGGCACTGCCTCAGCTCGGCTTAGTCGTGTACAGGGAGCTCAGAACCCCTCAAAGGAGGCAGGAGCTGGGGCTGGGCCATGGGGGCTGCTCTCATTTCTGTTCCCAGGACCAAGCACCTGTGGAGCTGGGTCCAGCAGAGGAGCAGGATGGGGATGCTCGGTGCCTCCCCAGCTCCTGCTTTGGCTCCACATGAGGAGCTGGGGCCCAGAGCAGCCCCAGAGCAGGCAGAAGCTGTGGGGCAGCTGCTGAGGGCAATCCCACTCTGCATCCCCATTAAAACATCCCCATGTGCCGCAGGCATGAGCTTCCCATACAAAACACCTCCTGGAGGGGCTGCCCCTGAGGTCCTGTTGTGCACAAGCCCTGTGATCCCCTGTTAGCGTCAGCCAGGGTAAAGAAGGGTTTGGGCATCCCCATACCCCAAGTGTCAGATCCCAAAATGCTTTCACAGCCGCAGGGATGTGCTCCCAGGGCACCCATCGTGCCCTCCAGCGAACAGATTGCAGCACAAGTGGGAGGTGCCTGGAGCTGGATCCATGAGGAGGGAACGGGCCAGCAGCCAGGCACTGAGCAGGGAGGAGAAGGTACACAAAGGGCTGGCAGCTCCTGATGGATCCCTCCCATCCCAATGGATAAGCACCACAGGGCTGCGAGGTGCCAGGCTGGGGTCTCTGTTCTCTGCTCACTCCAGTTTTCAGCGTGCCCATTGCTCTGTGTATCCTGAAAGACAGCTCAACCTTCCCCCCTTCCCTCAACCCATAGCATGTCCCAGGCCCCACAACCTCCCCATCTCTGCTGTCTGCTCCCCTGTCCAGCTGGATGGATCCTGGTTTGCATGAGGGTGGGTGAAGCCCCCCTGGACAGTTGGTCTTTGCTCCTGCCTGCACATCCCATGGGCTTGGGGCCGGCATGTGTCCCACTCCCATCCCACCTCCCATGGCCAAGGAGCTGGTACCACCCTGGCTGACCCTGGTGATGCTCCGATCTCCATCCCCACGTGAAACGGGATTTTGGAGAAGGAGAGATGGATTTCAACAAAGCCCCAAAACCATTCCCTGGGAGCACCCTGGTGCGGCCAAATCCAGCCCCGACTTCAGGGTGGTTTGAAGCACCCGAAATCGCATCCCATCCGATCCACCGCGGTGCAGCCGGCTCTGAGGCTGCGGAGGGCGCGCTCAGCCCCATTCCCCGCCCCGTGCTGGGGAGCGGGAGGAGGTCGAGGTTAACCCGGATTAACGCCGCATCCATCACGCACCTCCGCGGACACGCGGGGCTCCGGGGCCGGGCTCCAGCGCCACGGCGGGCCCCGGGAGCTGCTGCAGGATCCTCACCGGCGGCCGGGGCTGGAAGGCAGGGAGGAAAACCCGGGGTCTCCGCGCTCGGGTCAAGGCAGTGCCCGGGGCAGGAGCCGGCGGCCCCGGCCCGAGCGGGGAGCAGGGCAGGGAGGAGCGGATCTTGCGCTGGTCCCCGCCTCCCCATCCCTGTAACTGGGGTGAACGGCGCCTCTGAGGACACGTTCCTGTGCACAGGCGGCATCCCCAGTGCCCCAGGGAGGCATCCTGCAGAGAGCAGACCCCAGTGCCCCCCCAAACCCCCACCACATCCCATTTTCCTAACCCTTTCCTCATGAGCATCCCATAAACCCAGAGGCAGGACGGCTCTCCCGGGCTTACCCTGCGCGGGATGATGCAGGTCCCTGCTGGGGTGGCCCTGCAGACCCCACGGGGGTCCCCCACTGCTCCCAGCTCCATGGCTGGGCCCGGCAGGGCAATGGGATGAGGGAGCTGGAGCAGGGCTCGTTGCTAGAGCTGCCCTAGGAGCAGCCAAACAAACCCTGCCCGGGGGAGGAGTGTCCCTGGGCTGGGTTTCCCTGCGGTGTGGCCCCAGGATAACCCCCCCCCCCCCAGTGCACAGGGCTGCGGGGCAGGGGTGCTTGGTGCCCCCCATGGGGTTTCCCCAGAGGGAAGGGCCGGGAGCAGGGGGTGAGGGTTTACCTGAGCCTTGCTACTGCTGCCAGGCACCGGGAAGAGCTGGGCCCAGGGCTGGGGCTGCTCAGCCCCACCAGCAGCACCTCGCAGCTTCTGGCTTTGGGGCCTGTCCTAAAATCCCAAGTCCCGGCACGCTGTGGTCTCCACAGGTCCCGTCCATTGCTGCTGGTGGAATACGGGTCTGCTCCTGCCCCGTGGTCTTGGTTCCTGTTTCCCGGTCTCTGGGGCTGCATTCCTGAACTGGGGGGTGTTTGGGGATGCTGCATCTGGGCAGCTGATAACAACACAAAGTGGCTTAGGCTGCCACACGGGGGCTGAGTTCCAACCAGCTCCAACCCCCTGCCACGAGCAGGGACACCTTCCACTGGAGCAGCTTCTCCAACCTGGCCTTGAGCACTGCCAGGGATGGGGCAGCCACAGCTTCTCTGGGCACCCTGTGCCAGCGCCTCAGCACCCTCACAGGGAAGAGCTTCTGCCTAAGAGCTCATCTCAGTCTCCCCTCTGGCAGGTTAAAGCCATTCCCCTTGTCCTGCCCCTCCATCCCTTGTCCCAAGCCCCTCTCCAGCTTTCCTGCAGCCCCTTCAGGCACTGGAGCTGCTCTCAGGTCTCCCCTTCAGGAGCCTTCTCTTCTCCAGGCTGCCCCAGCCCAGCTCTCTCAGCCTGGCTCCAGAGCAGAGCTGCTCCAGCCCTCGCAGCAGCTCCGTGCCCTCCTCTGCCCTCTCTCCAGCAGCTCCACGTCCCTCCTGCGCTGTTGCCCGTGGTGGCCGGGCTGGGGTGTCCCCAGACCCGCTCCTGCCTCCAGCCCCCCCCGTGCGGACGGAGCAGGGGGTGGAGCCTCCCTCGTTGCCACCCTCAGGAGCCGTCGCGCTCTGCCTTGCGGACACGGAGCCCGTCGGCACCGGGCAGGGACGGGGGCACAGCCAGAGCCTGGGAGCGGGTCAGGGTCCTGCTGCGAGAGGAGGTCCTGGAGGGAGCCAGGAGCAGGGAAGTGGGGTTTGGGGTCCAGGTGTGCCCCCCCCCCCGGCAGGGCCATGCAGGAGGAGCTGGGCTGTCCCCAGCCCCTCGGGCACTGAGGCAGGGCACCCGCGGACAGGGAAGCCCAGGGGTGGTTCCAGCTATGCGGGGCCCACTGCAGCCCCCCGGCACCCGCGCACTGCTGGTCCTGCTGCTCGCGTTCCCGATGCCGTGGGTAAGCATCCCGGGGGAGCACGGGATGGGAGCGGGCGGGCGGCACGCACAGGTCCCTGCCTGTGACAGCCTGGGGAGTACGGTCCCGGTCAGGGCTCACGTCCCCATCCCTGTCCCCATCCCTTGTGCTGCGCGACCCGGGGGTGATTCCAGGCTCTGGGAGCTGCCGGCACCGCAGCACCCCCCCCCCCCCCCCCCGCTGCCTTCACAACAGCTCTGGGGATCAGTTTGGTTCCCTGCGGCGGGGGGGGAGGGGGTGTGTGATGCTGGGACCTCTCTGTGCTCCCCAGGGCTGGGACCATGCTCAGAGGCAGCCGCAAAGCTCCTGTGGGTTCAGCTCCCGGCCGGCTTCGGGACACCCCACTCTGCCCTGCCCTGGGGACCGTCCCCTCCATCCTCACATGGGTGCTGGGGCTGTGCTCACACTGATCCCAAACCTCAAGGGCTTGGGAAGCATCCACTGGAGTGAAGGTCGGGATGGGTGTAGGGTGCTGGGGTCAGGACCGTGTGTGGGGCGCTCCCCATCTCCAGGCAGAGCCATAGGGATGGTGACACCGGATGTCTGCTGAAATGGGGGTCATGGAGCTGTTGAGCTGCCGCGGGGTGGGGGCTGGAAAACCCACCCGAAGATGTCAAATTGCTTCAGCAGGAAACGCAGGGTGAGGGCTCCAGTGGGAGGGGGGCTCAGGTCGGTGTTCCTCTGCCAAGCCTTCAAGATGTCTCCTTTGTTCCGTAAGTTCTTTAGCCAACATGGTTTGGATCATGGGGAAGAGAAGAAAATTGAAAGAAAGGGAAGGGAAAAATAGGAAAGAAAAAAAACCTGGAAAAAATGATGGAAATTTTGAAGGGAAGGAAAGAGAAGGAAAAGGGGGGGGGGAGGGAAGGGGGAAAGGAAAAGGGGAAAGAAAAAGGAAAGGGAAGGGAAAAGGAAAGGGAAAGGGAAAGCAAGCAGGGGAATGGGAGCACTTCGAGGATAAGGAGAGGGATGGCATCAGTCCCCTTCCCAGAAGGGGAAACTGAGGCCCCCAAGGAGCTGCCTGCCCTGCAGCAAGCTGTGCCGGTGCCCGCTCTGGTGCTGCAGCAGCCGGGCTGCGTGCCCATAGATAACAAACCCCAGCAGCAGAAGGAGCAGACGTGCCCAAAGAGCTGGGGTTTAAAACCTAAAGACAGGGGGTCCTTGCTCAGGCTTTGGATGAGCTCATCTCTGCCCTGCTGATGGGGCCCCTCTGTCTTTCAGCTCAGCTCCTCTGTGTGGAGCTTGTGTCCTGGTGGAGCATCACACACTTGTGGAGGGAATTAGGAATAATTTAGGTGGTTCCTGGTGGTGTTTGAAAGGCAAATGGTAGAAAGCCAAGGAAATGGCAGGGGCTGAAAGCTCTCCTGGATCTGACTGCTAAGCAGTGACTCTTGGCTGGTACCCTCCTGCTCAGGCATCCTCTGCCTGCCCTTTCCCCCTTCCCAAGGTGCAAGCAACACATCCCGACTGCTCCGTGGTCCTCTATTTCCAAGAGCAAGAAGCTGAATGTCTGGAGGTTATCAGGAGTGAGAGGCAAACACCAGCCCCCCCCGGCGAACAAGGTGAGTACGAGCTGCATGGGGCTCATCTCCCACGGGATGAGGGTGAGGATTTGCTATGGGGGACTCTATAAGATGATCCACAGTGGGGGTGGGTTGCAGAGAGGACATGGTTGCAGGAAAACAGGTATATTTAGGGAAATGGGAGAGAAAAGGCTTGTTTTATTTTGCCCTGTCCCCAGAACTTGCCTCCATCACCTCTTTTCCATGGATTCCAGCCCCACAAATCCCTCCAAGCCTGGCCTTTTGCTGGAATGAGAGAAAAATGAATCACACTTGTCTGAGTCCCCATTCCCTGGCTGGGATTAGATGTGGCTTCAGGTTAACGTGCATCTATGAGGTTAATAATGTAGAAGATGCGCAAGGAGGAGCGCCGGAAGTGTGGTGTCCATGGCTCATCCTGCTCTGCTGCAGCACTCACACTTCACGGCCCCACGTCTGCTTGGCCATGCTCATTTCCAGGGTGATTGGAGACCCATTGAAAGTTGAACCTGGTGCCGGGGAGAGAAGGCAAACACGTCTGAGCTGAGTGCTCTCCAGGAAGTCCTGCTTTCTCCTCTTCCCCCTCGGGCTGGAGGCATCCCGAGCTGACCCAGCTGCAGGAATCCAGGATAATTCCGCAGTATTACAGATGCCACCAGGGAAGCCCAAGCCCTTCCCACCCCCTCATCCCTGGGGTTTTCCCCAGGAGCTCAGGGTCTGCTGCACCCCCAGGAAACAGCAGCTCCCATCTCGCCGCGGGGCTCAAAGGGGAGGCGGTTCCCAGCAGCTCCTCGTTCCAGAGGGGCACGGCGCAGCCCCGTGGACCGGGTGACCGCGGCTCTCCCGTTACCTCCGTGTGCCCAAGGGGCTCTGCGCGTGTGTGCGTGCCCGGCACGTCCCTTCCCGCTGGCGCTGACCATCCCGTCCCTCCCAGGCTGCCAGACGGAGTGGGATGGAGTCAGCTGCTGGCCAGCAGCGCCCCGCGGCCAGGCCCGGGCCCTCTCCTGCCCCGGCATCCTCCACGTCTTCAAGAGGACCGAAGGTGCAGTGCAGTGAGAATGCAGCCGGGGGCATGCGGGAGGGCTCATCCCCTACCTGCCCTGGGGCCTTGTGCCCCCCCCCGCCCCTTCGCCCTTCCCCTCTGCTCCCTCTGCCCCATCTGAGAGCTTGGCACATACTGCACTGCAAGGGCTGCTGCCGAGGAAAGAGCCCCCAGCCCTTCCATCAGCCAGTACCAAGCATCCCAAGTCCCGTCAGCTGCCAGAGGGGAGACGGAGATGAGCTCTTAGGCAGAAGCTCTTCCCTGTGAGGGTGCTGAGGCGCTGGCACAGGGTGCCCAGAGAAGCTGTGGCTGCCCCATCCCTGGCAGTGCTCAAGGCCAGGTTGGACACAGGGGCTTGGAGCAAGCTGCTCTAGTGGAAGGGGTCCCTGCCCGGGAGCACTCCCAGGGACGGTGACCCCAGCACTGCCCTAGGCAGCCTGTTCCAATGCCTGAGGTGTTCGTGATCTCCGGAGCCATTTGGATATTGGGGATCTGGGTATGGGGATGCTGGCGCTGGGGTTTAGGCTCCATCCCGGAGAGCAGGTACCATCCCCAGGCTGGATATCTGTGGGTGCTGATGCAGAGGTGAAGCCCATGCCTCCTGTGAGGTCCCTTCTTGCTGCTGCAGCGTTGATCTGGAGGAACTGCACCAGGTCGGGATGGAGCCTCCCCAGCCCTCCCTACTACAGTGCCTGTGAGCTGGAGCCCATCGGCAACAACACCGAGGCGAAGGCAAGTGGGTACCCAGCAACTGTGGGACATCTCCCCAGCATCCCCTGCCCCACACTGACCCGTGCTTTTGGGCAATGGAACATGAATTTGCCCTCGGGGATATGGAGTTGGCTTCATCCTGGGTGCTGAGCTTCCCGGAGGGGTCTGAGCTGGGCTGGGCAAGGCCTGGGGCATCCCCCTGCAGCCTCCCTGCCCATTGCAGGGCAGTGACTCCCAGCCCCGCCGGTGCTTTCCCTTCCAGAGGAGCTATTTTGTCACCATGAAGGTGCTTTACACCTGCGGCTACTCCATGTCCCTGGCAGCCCTGCTCCTGGCCATCGGCATCTTCTCCTGCTTCAGGTAGGGCTCCAGAAGTGGCTCCCGAAGGAGCCCATCTGCTCTCCCTGCTCCTCCCCGGGCCCAGCACATCTCTCCCACAGGAAGCTGCATTGCACCAGGAATTCTATCCACATCCACTTCTTCACCTCCTTCATCCTGCGTGGAGCCGCCGTGTTCGCCAAGGATGCCGTCCTCTTCTCAGACGAGTCCATTGATCACTGCACCATGTCAACGGTAAGGCAGCAAGTCCCAGCCCAGGCATGGTGCAGGGGGGGCCGCAGGGAATGTGCAGGACTGGTGCAGCATCCCTGGGGTGCTCTGAAAGGCCATCACAGGTCTCCCCGAGCGGATGGACAGGAGCTGACCATGTCCTGTGCCCCCAGGCAGGGTCTGATGCCAGCCAGCACCCCTGAGCCTTCCTCCTCCTCCTTGTCCTCCCAGGTGAGCTGCAAAGCAGCCATCGCCTTCTTCCAGTACTCGGTCCTGGCCAACTTCTACTGGCTGCTGGTGGAGGGCCTGTACCTGCAGACCCTGCTGCTGCTCGCCTTCACCTCGGACAAGAGGTACATCTGGTGGTACATCCTCATCGGCTGGGGTGAGTGCGGGGCTCCCCAGCACATCGACACCTCCAGCATCGCCCCTGTGACCCACACCAGGCACTTCTGGGGATTGCCTGCTCTGAGGCCCATCTGGCCCGAGCTCCACAGGCACCATGGTTCACGTGGCTGCTCTTGGCCCCCACTCCATCCCCTCTCTGCACAGCCCTGTGCCTCCTGCCAGCCCCTGGGGCCGGTTGGGCAGCCTGGCCTGATCCCTGCCCTTGTGGCATGTGTGCAGGATCACTCAAAAGGGAAATGTTTGCTAATGCTCAGCAAAGCCTTTGCAACAGCACCTGATACCAACCCATCCTGAGCATGGTCAGGATGGGGCAGAGACAGCTCCTTCCTTCTTCCTGCATCCATCTGGGGCTGGAATCACCTGTCCCAGGCGTCCACATTAGATGTAAGAGCACATAGAAGGGGAGGAGGGTAACCAGGATGTGACACAGGCACCTCAGCATCAGTGGGATCCTTTTAAAACCTGGAGAAGGGGGAATGTCACCTCCCTGACACCCCTCCGGCGCAGACACGTGGTTCTGGGGCTGGAGGGGAGGTACAGGGGTTCCTCAGAGCCCCTGGGACTCCATATCCCTGCCTGGCTCCTGTCCTTGCAGGCGTCCCCATGCTCACAGTCTGCGTATGGGTGGTCACCAGGCTGCAGTACGACAACCATGGGTAAGAGCAGCCACGCCTCTGTGTTCTGCGGCCACGTGTCCCCCGTGCAAGCCCCAGGGGATGAAGCTCTTGCATGGGAGGCTCCGGAGGGGAGCACGGGTCAGCACTTTGATGCTGCCTCTGTTTTCTGGTGGGGCAAGAGGAGCAGTGCAGACAGGGCCGAGGCGGCAGAGCCCTTTCTCCTCTCCTGCAGGTGCTGGGATGACTACACCAACCCTTACTGGTGGGTGATCAAGGCTCCCATCCTCCTGGCCATATTTGTGAGTGTGGCCCCTAAACACCCCAGACCACAGGGTCCCACATGGACAGGGGCATCCAGCCAGGGTCTGTGCAGAGCCTGAGATGGGCTTCCCATGGCAGGTGAACTTCCTCATCTTCCTCAATGTCACCAGGATGTTAGCGCAGAAGATCCGCTCCCCAGACATCAGCAGGAACTACAAGCAGCAGTACATGTACGGGCTGGCTTGGGCAAGGGGACCTTTCCTCTCCTGGTTTCTGGGGTGACCCAGAGCAGCAGGGACCCCTCCCTAGAGGAGAGCAGTGCTTGGAGCCCCAAAACCTGCCTGTCATTGCAAACCTGCTCCGGGTTAACCCCGAGCTCTTGGGCAGGTCTCAGTGATGGCTCAGCAGGACCCTGGCCTGTGCCCAGGGCCCCTCTCATGCCACCGCTCTCCGCAGGAGGCTGACGAAGTCCACGCTGCTCCTCATCCCCCTCTTTGGGGTTCACTACGTGGTGTTCGCACTCTTTCCCGAGCACATCGCTGTGGATGCTCGGCTCTGCTTCGAGCTGGTCCTTGGCTCCTACCAGGTACAAACTGGGGGCGATCACAGCAGCAGAGATGCACAAAGTGCTTTGGGTTGAAGGGACCTTAAAGCTCACCCAGCTCCAACCCCTGCCACGGGCAGGGACACCTTCCACTGGAGCAGCGTGCTCCAAGCAACCCATCACATGGGGAGGCAAAGACCCCAGGTACCCATCCCAGCCCAAACCAGGAGCCGCTGGGATGTGCTGCTGGGGCTTTTCACTCTTCTGGGAGAGGCCTGTGGCACCCCACAGCTCCACCAGGGACAAAGCACAAGAGTTGTGGCCCACTGAACAACTTGCTTTAACCCTCTCCTGCCCATGGGATGGGGTGAGAGATGTGGGGGGTGCTAAACGAAGGCAGGAGATGAGCATGAAGGGGTCTAGCTGGGTAAAACTTGCTCTCCCTGTCCTTGCCAGGGGTTCCTGGTGGCTCTGCTCTACTGCTTCCTCAATGGGGAGGTGAGTGTGTCCCCAGCCTGAGTTCCCTGGGTGCCACAGCCACATATGTGGGCACCCAGACCCCCACCAAGGGTGCACCCCAATGAGCACGGCATGGCATGCATACAACCATGCATGTGTGCACACAGACATGCATGGGGGTCCTTACCTTCTTGCACTCTGAACCCCCTGTCGAGGCCTGGGTGCAGCTCCTGCCCCTCCATTGGGTGCTGCCTGGTGGCCCTGAGTGCCAGCACTGGCCCCTGGTGTTGGTTCAGGTCCAGGCTGAGATCAAGCGGAACTGGGGCAAGTGGCAGTCATCGATGGAGAGCAACGTCTTCAACCTGGTGACCCAAGACTTCACAGCATGATGAGGATGGCGCTGGTGGAAACACACCCTCGAGGACGGGGGGGGGAAGCTCCATGCCTGCTGCCCCATAAACACAATAGGAAGGATTCTGTAGGGTCTGGGTCTGGCATCCTTGGAGGGCAGTGGGAGCGGCTGTTGGGATGTTGAGCTCTGCCTGCTCAGGTGCTGGTGGCTCTTGTGGCTCCCTGTGAGTGTCCTCCCTGCCCAAAGCTCTCTTTGCAGTGTGGTCAGTGTTTCAGGCAAAGGGAATAGACCCTCCCCACCTTTTCTGCCCTGGGAATGGGTAGGAAGGACAAGCAGCATTTTACATTCACATCAGTGGCAGTTTCCACTTAGCACTGGAATGAAAACTGGAGCAGCCCCAACCCTGCAGGGATTTACTGCTCGTTATTTTCCCCTCCTTTCTTGGTTTACAGAATCATTTTGAGCTCTCCCAAGGGCTTTGCATTGCAGGGACAGGAGAGTTTGCCAGCAGCAGGACTGCCCCGTCTTCACTGGGGACTTGTTTGCCTGGGACTGGGGAGGCTTTTGCCAATAAAGCCTTGTTCTGAACCCAGCATCCCTTCCCAGAGGATTTCCTGTGCTCACCAGGCCCAGGTAACTGGGTCCCAGGAATTCCAGAGGGTGGAAGCTCTGCTGGTAACTGGAATGTCTGCAGACACCTCCCAGGGAGGGAAGTACCTGTTATCGCTCTGCCTGTTGAAGCAGCAGCCCCTGGGTATGGCCATGGGGAGGAGATGAAGAAGAGCACAAGATGGGTGCGTCACGAGGTGCTGTGGGGCCGTGTCTCCTCTGGGTCAGAGCTGCCGCCACCAGGCCTCATCCTGGCCCTGTTCAAGCCCACGAGCATCCTTCACCCTCCCTGCCTGCGCTGCTGCCGTGACAAGCACTATCCCTAGGCCTCAGATGCCCTTTCCCCAAAAGACCGGAGCCACCCAATCCCACAGAGCTTCCCACACTTCCTGGGCTGTCATTTCTGCCTGCAGCCCCGTGTCCTGCCTTAAATAACCCCCCCTTGTCGGCTCCTGCCCAGCTGCAGGATCTCAGCGATCCCATCTTGTTTCACAAAGAGGCACTGAGAGGCAGAGAGAGCCCCAGACGGTCTGGGGTGAGATGGAAGATGTCCCATCAGACAACTCCCCGGGCCAGCGCCGCCAGCCAGCAGAGCTCCAGAGGAACATGGGAACTGTCACATGGATGCCTGCAGACAGGAAGAGACTGCAGGTGGACAAACATCCCTCTTCATCATTAGCAAGGAAGATGCTGTTCAGGCATCAGGTATAGGCCAAGGGGAATGGCTTGAACCTGCCCGAGGGGAGACTGAGATGAGCTCTTAGGCAGAAGCTCTTCCCTGTGAGGGTGCTGAGGTGCTGGCACAGGGTGCCCAGAGAAGCTGTGGCTGCCCCATCCCTGGCAGTGTTCAAGGCCAGGTTGGACACAGGGGCTTGGAGCAAGCTGCTCCAGTGGAAGAGGTCCCTGCCCGTGGCAGGGGTTGGAGCTGGAGGAGCTTCAGGTCCCTTCCAGCCCACACCAGGCTGGGCTCTGCTGAACCCCGGCAGAGCAAAGCCATTTTTTTCCAGCACGGTCCCTGCACCCCTTTGCTCACCGGGTCCCGGGTCCCTGTCCCGCGGGCCGGGGCTGTTTTGCCGGGGCCCGGCTGGGGGCGTTGTGTCCCCGCGGTGCCCTCGGCCCCGGGGTGTCCGCAGCACCCGGACCCGGACCCGGCGGGACCCTGCGCGGCCCCGGGTGCGGGGTAAGGGGGGACCGCACCGCTGCGGGCAGCGCGCACCCGGCTCCGCTTCCTGCCCGGGGCTCCTCCGGGATCCGCCTCATCAGCGACGGGGCTGGACGGGGCTCAGGGCGTGGAGAGCTCTGCTCCTGCGAGCCCGTTGCTCCTGCCCCTGCCGCAGCCCCTGCTCCGCCGGGGGCTCACCCTGTGCTTGTCCCCACGCTGTCGCCCTGCTCTGCCCCTGCAAACGTCCCTTGCCTCAAGCACCGCCGTTTGCTTCCACCCTGCTCCGTGCTGGCCGCTCTGCCTGCGCCCAGCTCCTGCCTGCGGCAGCCGATGGGACCGGCTGGGCATCCCCTGAATTGCCTGCTCTGGCCAAAGGAGCAAGTGGGAAGTGACCACAGACACAGCGGGTCCCTGGCCCTGTCCCTGTCCCTGCCTCCTCAGCAGCCAAAACCACCGGGCACTCCCGGGATGCTTTGTGCCCACGGGAATGGATCCGTGCTTTGGTGCTGAGCTCCCAACAGACTCCCAGTACTCCCTGGCCTGGCTACAGTGATTACTGTTAGTGAGCTAACACGGGGCTCTCCACTCCCTCCTTCCCTTGGCTTCAGCCTCTCTAAGCCTACCCTGGGCTCCAAGTCAGCAAAAAGAGCCCTGGGGTCTGCTTTTAAGTGAGGGAAGTTCTGCTTCCCAAACCGTCTCCTGCATGGCACCGGTGCTCTGTCCCGTGCTGCAGAACCTTCCCTCAGGAGCTGAGCCCGCTCTCCTGAGCTGCTTTCCTTACACGGACAGAAAAAGGAAATTATGGGGTGAAAAGCAGACCTCAGCCAAGGAAAGTCGCTCCACAGCTTCCTGTGTGTCTGGGTCCACAGCCTGGCCCTGTTTCCATTCACTGCATGGGATGCCATGGGCACAGGAGCCCTGAGTGAGGGCCTGGAGGCAGGGAAAGGCAGAGTGTCCTGGGAACGCTCCAGTGAGGGATGTCATGATGGGGAGGGCAGGTCCTGCAGCTCCAGTACAGCCTGCACCAGCGTGGGAAAGTTGTGCAGGGTATTTTGGGAGCGGAGGAGCAGCACAAGGGTTGCACAAAGGTGGCAGCGCTGGAGGGATGAGTCCCCTCCGACCAGGCTGAGTGGTGGGGTGCTTGGTTCACGCCCAAGGCAGCCCCATAGGCCCCAAAAGTAGTGACCCTTGTAAGCTGGGTGCCCACTCTGAGCCTCCAGAACTGCTTGGACATGCAAACAGCACCCAAAGGCCTCACCAGGAAGGCGAAACAGGGAGACAACCACATGGCAAGGTCCAGTTTTGCACCATTCTGTGCTACCCTGGTCCCGGCTCAGTCCCACAGGGATCCCCCTGAGCAGGGGAAGCAGGAAGGGACACGGATGAGCTGTGACCCTGCTGGGTGCTGCCTGTCCTGCCCATCGGATGCTCCTGGGGTGCAAAGAAGCGTGGTGCTGGGGCAAAGTTGGGCAGAAGCCGCGGGTGGGGGGAGCGGGGAGATGAAGCAGGAAGAGCAGGAGCCCCTCACTGCAAGAGGAGCCGCAGCCGGTGCCGGGCGCTGCGCGGTGGGAACTGTACTCCCAAAGAGCCACGGGCTCAGGGACACCGCTGGCAGAGGTTGGCACCGGCTCCCCCGCTCGCGGATGTCCCGCTGCTCTTTCCGATTGCGTGTCCCTTCTGGGAGAGAGGGATGGGGAGGTGCTGGCCAGGCCCCTTCCCACCTCCCCTCCACGTCCCCGGCCCCATTTGGTGCCAAAGCCGTCCCGAAGCCACCTCGCCACCGGGGACACGCTCCTCGGGCACCGCAACCGCTGATCCCCGGCTCCGAGCATGGTCCCCGGGGGCGCGGGCACACCCCTGCGCACGCAGGATCCCGGGAATGCCGGGCGATGCGGGCACGGGGGCTGCCGGCGCTGCCAGCACCGTGATTGGCACCGCGGGGGACGAATGTCACTGCTGAGACGCGGCTGAGGCTACCTGAAGGACCCCGCATGTCCTCAGGTTTCAGTCATGACCATCTGACAGCAGCAGCAGCTGCGCTGCCAACAGCCACTCGCAGAGCCAAAGACTCCAGGAGTCGAAGGAGAGGGAAATTCTGGCCCTAAAAGGTCTCTCCTTGGGATTTTGCTCTCTCCACCCAACAGTAAGTACTGGATTCAGGCCTGGGATGCTGCCAGGCCCCCAGGCAGGGTCTACGGGTCTCGGATGTCCCCGTGTTTGTCACTGTCACTGTGCCCGGAGCGGTCCAAGCAACACGGGGGCTCCACCACCGGAGTGCTGGAGGTGGACGGGAGCCCCCGTGCTCACCGGGGTGGGTTCAGAGCTGTCGGCACCCGCCGGACCCCCGGCATGGAACCAGCCCGGGATGGGGGGAGAAAGCCCCCACAAAGGCACCGTCAGGGCACAGGGACGAGGGTGTCAGAGCCACCGGACCCTCGGTGGTCACGGAGCGGCTGCTGGAGGAGAGGGGACGGTGGGGATGTGACGGCAACCGGTTTGTGAAGCACCTTCCCGCCGGAGGAAGGCAGCTCCAGGCAGGGCTCAGGAGTCGCCTTTCTCCTGCCTTCTCCTCCTGGGATCTAAATATAAACCTCGGCTGGGCCAAGCCAAGGTTGCAGCAAAGGTCTGCGGGTGCTGCTCAGTGTCCCCTTTCGGGAAGGCGCCTGCGCCTGCAGAGCCCCTGCAGGGACCCCGCGGGGAGCAGAGGAGGACGAGGGACCCCCCTGCCCTTCCCGAGCAGCGGTGTCAGGGTAACACCATTCACACACCGGGGTTGCACGCAGAGCCGATGGCTGTGGGGTGCTGGGGACGCAGGGTGAGCCCCATATGGGGCTCAGGGCTCAGTTCCCCCTAAGGGCAGTGGGGAACAGGCAGTGCCAGGGGGGGATTCAGCTCATTTTGGGGCTGTTGGATCCATCCACGTGCCAGCAGCGGGTGCACGGGGATGTGCAAAGCTCCCATCCCTTGCTGCGTGTGTAGGGACAAAGTTTTAGAGTTTATCCAGAGGGAAGCAGCCACCCTCATCCCCCTGGATCTCTCGGTCCCATTCTGCATCCCTGCTCTCTTGCTTGTTGCAGTTGCAGAGTGAAGTTTGTAGATAAGCACAAGCATTTCCTCCCCTGCCCACACTGCTGCTGCTATAGAAGTGAGGGGTCAGTCTGGGCATGCAGTGATTTAACAGTGGATACCGATGGGGGGGCAACAACTCCATAAATCCCAGGAGACAGCAGCACACCCCAACAGGTCCTGGAGGGGGGATCCTGCACATGTAGCTGATGGTTTGATGGTGCCTCCTCTAGTCCTTGCTAGAAAATAGCCTGATGTTCTAATGGTTCAGGGGGGGAAAAGGGCATATTTACTGGAACTGGAGAACACAGAGTCCTGCCTTGACTCGGGTGTGCTAACATTGAAATAGCATCTTCTATTTTCCACTGCCTGCATAAGGGTCCAGTGAACATCACTCAGGGCAAAAAGTGCCCTGTGGAGCTACTCAGGCAGATCCGTCTCTCGCTGGGAAACTTGCTGGATTTGGGCTAGGAGGGCTCGCAGCAGGTATTGAGACACCAGCATCGTTCCTGTGCTCAGCAGGTTGGATTAACCAGGTCATTCCTACAGAGGGGAGGAAGAGGGGAATCGTGCCGGAGGGTTTGGGGAGTTTTGATAGCAAAGATCTGAGCTCCAGAGACGCCGGGGTGGGTGCTCAGCCTCTGTGCCTGTCTGTCTGTCCAGCTGCCTCCCTCCTTGGCTATTTATACAGCCCTTGGGAACATCTCCCTTTCGAGTCTCCCTTCTCCAGATCCAGGTGGATTTGAATGAGATC